CCCATATATTAACAAAAAAGCTTCTACTTCTAAATGTGCAGCATTTAACTTGGCCGAAATAATGGACGATCAAAATAATCTCTCAGTACAATATGTGAAATCAGCACCTAATATCATCAAAGCAGAAGTAAAAGCAAGACATATAAATAGAAAAGTCTATCGAATTTACATTCACTATATTTCCGAAGGTAATGACTACAATAGTATTCTTCGTTATTGCTGTGATTGCCCCAATGGCAAACGTACAGTGGGATGCTGTTCTCATGTAGCAGCTATTATTTATTATCTATCATATGGATGATATTTGTCCAAAATCGTACGTCCTGCTGAGGTCCCTACTAAGTTATTTGCGACTCAAAGTGTTCCGATTGTAATTAATTACAACAGTGACGATGATTAATATTTTGTTTCTTGTATTTTGATAGACACGAAAAAGTAATAATAATAAGTATTGAACACTGGCTGTTTTTTTTTCATTTCTTTTTTAACTATTATCCCATCTCTTAAGACTAGTTACTTATGTTTTAAAACAAGCTGATGTGAAATTTCGAAAAAAAAAAATGATGTAATGTGAAAACCTTATAATGCAGGGGTATACCATAAGACAGAAATCACATATAATTTTTTTTCGTTGTGTTGCACCAACTTTTTTTTCACGCAATTTTTATGGGTAATAGAGCATACAAAGGAGCATAACATATATTAATTTCGTGATTGTAAGTCACAGAGAACTCAGAAAAAAAACATGATTTTTTTTATTTTTTATTTTTTTAATGTAATTTTTTATTCTAAAAATTATAAAAAAATATATGTGATATACTCTGTAATGTAACCTAACACCTCGCGTTAGTTTCACTTCTTTATCTTAATTAGCTTTAGAGATATATCACATTCAGTAATAGTCAAGCATACGGATATTTTGCTCTCTATCTCAAGGTCAAAGCGGAAGTCGGTCGCGAAAAGTACATAAATCGTGTTTGAACATCAAGTCGATATTAAAACATAAGTTTCAATATCGATTCCCATTTGGGGGCCGACTCGTCATACGTATCCGGCTAAACCCTTTATTAGAAATATAGATGATTAGATACTGGAATTGTTCATACTAAGGCCTACTCTGACACAACACTCATTAACACGTTCCACAACTCAGCCTCTGTATAAGCTATACGAATTGTATCGTCGTCATACCTTAGATTGTTAATGAGGTGTCCAATTATTTAACGCCGCACTCTAGGAGCTTCTGACACGAGTGATTCTAAGGAGTTACTAAATAAAGTTAGTGACAAAATGCAACCCTGTCGTATCCCCCTTTTTAATTACGTTTTCGTTTGTGGCTACACCACCAGCAAGATGGTAATAAGACTAAATGTTAATGGAAAATTTATTTGTATCATCATCATCATCATTTCAGCCAAGAGACACCCACTGCTGGGCATAGGCCTTCCCCAAAGATCTCCTATGTGATAGGTCCTGCGCCTCCCGAATCCAGCGGCTTTTCGCGACCTTCACCAGATCGTCGGTCAACCTTGTGGGGGGCCTACCAACGCTGCGTCTCCCGGTACGCGGTCGCCACTCCAGGAACTTACCACCTCAACGACCGCCAGTTCTGCGAGCGATGTGCCCTGCCCACTGCCACTTGAGGTTCGCAATTCTTGGGGCTATGTCGGTACTAAATGCGTATATACACAGTAAATATAAAGATTCTTAATAAGATCAATCGTATTCGATTCGATACCAAGTAATACTCTAATTATTCTTGGAATCTGATAAAAAGCATCGAATACCTAGAGTCTGGCAAGCGAAACGTGTCACAAGAAAAGGGCGGCAATTTCAAAAATTCTTAAGCAGTAAACACTGAATGTAGTACTGCAAAATAATTTTGATACTTTTATTAATTATATTTAATCTTAACATTTAGATATCAATTAAAATTATTTGTTTTGGAACATTTGACTAAAGCGTGACTGTTCTTAATTGTACAGTTAACAGCATATCAGTAGGCCTATTCACTAACTCAACTGACAACCAAGAATCGTCATCACCGTAAAAAATAGACACTTTGATTGTGTCAAAATCACTATTTCGTATTCTCTATCAATGATGAGCAATTTCGAAATGTCAATATCGGCATTCTCCACTGGACTCCATTTTGACACTGGATTTCGTATCGATAAACTGTATTAAAGTAACATTGTTGCAAAGCATATTTGAAGTCGTCGCATAGTACCTCTTAAGCCATTTGTTGTTAAATTAAAGCGAAAAAAAATACGTATCCAATATTTTTCTATTATCTGACTGACGGACTAAATCGAATCTTTTTTTTAACCCATTCGTTATACCTATTGGCTAACAGCACTTATAATATTAAAAATTCATATTTGTCATTAATTAAAAGGGTGTTTTTTTGCAACGACTTCTTTGTTTTTTTGTAATGAATATGGGCGACTCTGGCCACATTTTTTTAATAAATGTGATGTTAGCCAATTTTGATTTCTGGCCCTTATATTTATAATGTGTTCATAACACATACATGTCTCCTAAGGGATTTTCATCACAACCTTTTGCTCTGATCCAGAACCACTATCTATCAAATTAAATTAGTCAATATAAACACCAGATTACAATAAAAAAAACATTTATTTTTGTTACAATTAAGTGCCATGGATAAATTACATAATACAGGTGTCACAAAATCATCATGTTAATCACAATAGAAAATTTAAGATAAGATTTTGACTATGAATCAGACTAAAAATACTTTAGTCTGATTCATAGTCAAAATCTGTTTCTAAATATTCTACACCTGATAACAATGACAAGGAATCATCAGAGTCACTCTCTTCACTACTGTCTGCACCAACAGATATAATAAATTTTTCAAGTTCGTTTTCAACAATGCCATCTTTTAATTTGTAATCATTTTCGACATTTAAAACATGATCAGTGTATTTCTTCCAGTCACTAGGGGTAATTAAGTTAAAACACTCTATTATTAAGTTTTCCATTTCCTTTCCTGGTATTCCAATGTTTCTGCTTGCAATTTTTCTTTTTGCTTGACTCCAAACCATCTCTATTGGGTTTAAGTCACAATGATACGGTGGCAGCAATAAAAGTTCATGATTATGTTCTTTTAAAATCTCTTCAGCTTCATATACAGGCAATGTTTTCTTATCATTAACCAAACACATTAACTCTGCCTTTGTCTGATATTCCTCAAAATGTATTCCATTATTTACAAGCCATTTACGGATATCTGCTTTGGTATTAGACATTATAGGCGGTTTATTGATTTGTTTTATATGGTAGCTGGCATTATCCATAACAATTACACTGGGCTTACTTAAATTTGGTATTAATTTTTCTCTGACCCATTTCATAAAGTTCGATGAGTTCATATCATCATGATAATCAGCAGATTTGGATTTACTACTGAACACTAATAATGCACCAGGCACAAAACCTTCCTCAGATCCAGCATGCACAACAATATGCCGTTTTCCAGAGGATATCTTTGTAGTGACACCAGTTGTTGAAGGTCCTTGCCAAGACTTTTTAACTTTATAATTCTGATGTACATAAGTTTCATCAAGGTACACAATTTGCTTTCCTTCGTTTCGTTTTATATTTATTTCTCTCAAATACTTGTGCCTCCATGCAGAAATCTGGTATTTTTCTATAAGCATAGAACGTTCATTTTCATTGCTTTTAAAAGAAAATCCATTCTTAAGCATAATTTTTCGTAAAGTCTCACGGCTACCACTGAATCCTATTGCATCTTTTAATTCATTGTGAAGGCTTCTTAATGTTGGAACAATTTTTTTCACACAGTAAAATTCATTTACTTTATTCCGAATTGCACTTAAATCAAAATTATCTAAAGCAGACACTGTTGGTTGATGAGGTCGTTTTTTCCCAGGAGTGTCCCATTTTCCTTTATTAATTAATGCTTCATTTTTTATCCTTCTTAGTGTCCTTATACTTACATCTATAAAAGATTAAACACTTTGAAACAAAGATATGTTAAATGTATTTAAAAGCAAATAATGATAGACACATACATCAAAATAATTTAAATACCTATTCAACTATGAATGCAATTTATGTTTAATTTAGTTAAGTTTATGTGCATATTTAGCATGTATAACAATTACATGGTTTGATTAGTTTCATGAATTCTGTGAATTTCCTTGTTAAACAAAACATTCTTATGACATCATTGGATGTCAACAATAAAAACCAATACATCATAAAAAACCTATGTAAATATTATAGGAATACTATCAATCTATCTTAAATCAAAACAAGAAAAGAGACCTGTCATTGAAGAAATTTTTTGTAAGTACTGCGTTTCCGAATTCAGCATTTCTTGTTTTTCTAAAGTTTTTATTGCATTTATCTCCTCCATTATTAGTTGAATATCACCATCACAGTTATCTGAAATAGAGCAATATTTTATAAAAAATATCTGTTTAGTTAATTACAGAAAATTAAAACGAAAGTATCAAAATTATAATACAAAACTAACCTAAAAAAGATACAACTTTATCTAATCGTTGTAATTTCTCCATGAAATTTTTATTTAATTCAGTTTTCACTTCAGTAAACTTGTCAATCATGATGGAAAGAAGTTTCCTCGATGAACTTTTTATCGGCTTCGACATAATTTTTAACCAAAAACACAAGTTCAAATTCGCAAAAACAACAAAATTCAATATTCTTGAATTGTCTAACGTAGTGTCAAACTGACAGTTCTATGTTGTTGCCATATGAAAACGGAAAAATAGGTGGTGTCACGTTTCGCTTGCCAAACTCTACTCGTATTTACTTGTTTGGAAATTGATATACTCTTTACTGTTTGGTAGGTTGTGTGAAAGTTGTGTGGTATATAAATAATGTATACATACCTATAATGTGTATACTACTTTACTCTCTGGTGTATAGCATACATTTATTCTTTGGTTTATATTAAAAGTGTTCTGTGATATACTTTACTCTTTGAATGTGGACAAAATGAGTGAAAGAACAAATGTTATTCACTTATTTTACTCGAAAAGAAATTAAAGTTTATCATGTTATAGACTTTTTATCAAGAAAGAAAAATAAAACTAGATACTAAGTTTTCAAAAGTGCAAGTAGACGTGATTTCATAGTTAATTATAAAGTTTTACATATGATTAAGTACACCATATGTGTAACATTTTACAGTGATAAAGAATGAGACTCGACACAAGGGCTAAAATACTTTGTGTGCGTTCTTCTTTTTGTTGTCCTTAAATTAAAGTCATGGGGTTACTCATTTCGAAGATTTGGAGCCTCTTCGGAAACGAGGGTAAGAGTTCATGATTATCGTAAATATTCAATGCAGCTTAGTATAGATAAGATAAAAGATGATATCTAATTTAGTTAATGAGGTGTTCTTAAATTAAAAACTCTTAGGTATTTAAAAATATTTGTTTGGTTTTAAATTGTCACCTTGTACTTAATATGAAATTCTTTTATGAGTGTTGTAATACAATTGGTAAAAAGTATTGTTGTATAACACTAACATGGAGATATGAGATTGACCTAAATTGTACTGACTGTATTTTTCATCAACAGAACATAAGCTGGTTTTAGTGGGTCTTGACAATGCAGGCAAGACTACAATCCTATACCAGCTACTTCTCGGTGAAGCAGTTCACACAAGACCAACTATAGGGTCCAATGTTGAGGAGGTGGTGTGGAGAAATCTCCGTTTTGTAATGTGGGACCTTGGTGGACAACAGAGCCTACGATCTGCATGGAACACCTATTATACAAACAGCGAGGTATTACATGGATTTTCTGTTTTCACATAGTATGATTGTTAAATGTATTAAAAAATATTGAAAATCTAAATTAGCTGGAAGTTTACTTTATAATTTTTCTGCTGCTGTTAGCGAAAAATGATTTTCTTAATATTTTATATATCGAGTAGATTTGCAACAAATCTTTGGTTAGTATACACCAGCAGAATACCAAATACATCTATACTATTCAGCCAAATACTTAAGTACCTAATATATTTTAACTCTAATGAGATAATTAGTCTAATATTGAGGAATGTTACCAAAAGCAAATTCATATTTTATAGCAACAACAATACTTAGTATAAATAATTAACAAGTTAGAAATAGTTTCTTTTCATTCATTCATTGAAAATAATTTAAGTCTGTGTTACTATTAAATTTTCTTACTGTTTCCAAAATACATAAAGCATGGCTGTTAATTTAAACTACACAAAAATTTGTGTGCAATTGTTGCTTGCTGACCAATGTTAATTTTACTCTTCAAAATATTACAGTTTTCTTCTGTATATCTGCTAACATTTGATTTTATAAGCTAGGAATCATATAGTTAAGTATGTTTTAGTTATCTGTATGAACATTTTTTTAGCTAGACCGATTGTACATTATTATTGTGTTTTAAATAGTATACTACACTATTTTACTTTTGTTTCACGGGTGTATTGGCAATTTTACCATTTTTATTGTAATACTATCATTAATGCTTATGATTCCATGGCATTCTTTTATAAATATTTTGTATAGAGCAAGTCAAACAAGTATTCCCTAATAATGTTTTTTGAGTAATTCTTGATATAATACTTAAATTAAATATGAAGATTTTTCTATGATACCTCAACTAACTTAAAAAAAAGATTGTAGTCAAATTTTTAGAATACATAGTTTACCTATATTGTTTTAGCATCTTACTAATATTATAAAGGAGAAAGTTTGTACTACTTCACGCAAAAACTACTGAACAGATTTTGATGAAATTTGGTATACAATAATTTGGTATTTGATAAATTCTCAGCTTAGATTATGCAAAGGTTACTTTGTTTCACACTAAATGGGGCTCTAGGAAAAGGTACAGTCATGTCGAAGCCATTGGTGGAAAGCTAGTAAATAATACTACAACTGTATCTAAGATAAGGAAAAATCTGAAACATGTTTTATCATTAATTACAGAATTAAGAAATTATAATCAAAGTTACCCAATGATATGCATACACAGATAAATGTTCTTTTAGTGTACCTAATCAAACAATAGCATACCACTGTCACTGATTGTAGTAATTCATAAGAAATAAACTGAAATGTAACAGGTTTGGTCCAGGGGTTTGTGAATAGTATTTTCTACATTTATAATGTGTTGAGTATAAATATAATATGTTTCAAGATTAATTGTATTTATATGTTAAAATAATTAGACCATATGATAATAGATGTTGGATTAACCCAGTTAACCTGGCACTTCAAAGGTTTCTGTGTTAAAATCTATGAAGACTCTTGCGCTATTTCATTTTAAATATGCATTTTATAACATGAATTAGTTTAAAAATAATCTAAATAATCTGCCCATGTTCTTAATAATAAATCAGCGGTTCTCAAACATTTTTGCTAGTACACCTTTTAATATTTACATGGAGTTCTGAAATAAAACAAAACATTTTATGTGCCCTGTTTATTAATAATATAGAGTTGCCAATTCTAAATTTTAAAAAGTAGGAAGCCGATTAGTCTTATTATGGAGGATTACAGATTATAGGAATCAAAGCAAATTAGTACAATATGTCATGGATCAAGGTCAAATTGATTGGGAATTTATAATAAATGCCACACAGCATGAAAAATGCCCAATATGATTATGCTCATCACAGAGCAGAACTATCAGGGCAGAACAATTGAAACTATGTTTTATGATGGTACTACATATTTGATTTCAATTATATTATTCAGCTCAGCTTTAGTATAAGCAACCCTACGTCTTTTTTATAGATAGAAATATCAAAATATTTTATATAATAGTAGGAGTTGCTCGGATGAGCACCGCGACCCGCGAACGTTATTGTAGTCTTATGGGATGGGTGACCAAAAAATTATTATCTCTAACTACTCTGTGCTTTGGAAGGTATGTTAACCCGTTGGTCTTGGCTGCATTTGCAGTCGTCAGTACTCTCAATCCGCAATGGGCCCATGTGGATAGTTATGGCCCAGCATCCTTAACTATCCATAAGGAAGGCCTGATCCCCTGCAGTGAGGACGTAACTGAGCTAATGATGATGACAATTTATATTTTATTAAAAAGTACAATAGTTAAAAAGTACAATTGTTACATGAATTTTTGTTTGTATCACAGATTCACTGTTTGCTCTTACCGCACTGTTTCCAATATATTAATATAAATTATGGCTCTGCATTATCTTAAATATTGCTTTGGCGAAATATAATATGAAGTGAATTTGTTTTATGCAGCAAATTCTTAGCTTACTTAGTAAAATATTGTTTTGCTTAGCGATTGGCAAGAGTAAAGTTCCTCCAATGTCAATTATCGTAGTGTTGTTGTATGCTAACAATATCAGATTATATGTTATTTTAAAATATTTCTCGTTCTGATTATTGGGCGCCATACATGTAAGACGATGTAGACAGTTCTTACTACGCTAGAAAAAATAAGAATTGGCATACGTCCTCTCTCATTTTAATGAACATGAATAAATAATAGTAGGAAGAAAATACATACACAGGAACTTTTAATTTTATTAGGACTATAAATATTTTTGAACTTAAAGATTAACATATTCATTATAAGATTACACTTTAAAATATTAACTTTGCGCATTTGTGGTTGAGAAGATTTGGCCTGACCGAGATTCGAGGGTAGTATGTAAACTATTGTTATTCGACAGCTCGATTCTTTATTTAATGTGTCAAGTGCCATTGTTTTGAGACAAGAGCAGAACATATAGAAAAAAAAACATTTTTTTATTTTTATTTTCTTTGTTTTCTTGTTCGGTTCGCCGAGAACTTTTCAAACCACCCTCGTATATTGATATTGTTGAATTGTTCGATCTCGATCTTTTCTTATCGTTCTTAAATAATTTTAATGGGTTGGCTAAATTACAATACCCTCCTGCTAGGTCTGCGTTTCTGCGTTTATTATTTGCATCAAACACAATTAAAATAATGAGCATAAACCTATCATTATGAAGTTTATGCCATGATGATATTTCTATCATAAATAACTTTAATTTTCACATCTTATTTTCCATTGCAGTTTGTGATCATGGTGATAGACTCCACGGACAGGCAGCGCCTGAGCATCAGCAGAGAAGAGCTGCATCGGATGCTCACACATGAAGAACTAAGTCGTGCATGTCTGCTTGTCTTCGCTAACAAACAGGTAAATTAACTACACATTAAGATCAATGTTCCAGAAGGAATAGATCCGAGCTACATTCTGATAAGCTTCTTTATATACTATTAATTCGAACAACATATACATATATGTATGACTTCAGCTGGTCAAAGATGGACTCACTCGAGACGAAATTAATTCAAATAAAATAAATATTGTTAGATGCCAGAATTACTTTAGATTCATTAGTTTTCACCTTATAATTATCTCAGTTTTTTTATATTGACATGTTTTTTTGAAAATCAAAACATTTAAATAATGGTAGCTTCTTATTATGCATCTATTTTACAGAGTAGATTTATATGCTTCCAGTTTGTTAAAAATACGAAAACCCTGCATTGCGTCTAGCATTTGCAAGAAAATGACGCATTTCATTCGTAACAAAAGCGAGTGTTCTAATAATTCTTAGAATACCGTTAAACTTGGACAATACATGAACATGCTTATTAATTAAGACTAAATAAATAATGCAATTTATAATAGTCGTACCTAAAACGTTATGCCATATAACGGAATTTCAGAAAGAAAATGTGTGAAAAAAATAGGCATCCTCATTACTAGTCAATGCGTGGAAACTATTTTTTTTTATTCCTGTGGATTTTTAGGGAATATTATATTAGAGAGTATATAACGTATTTAATGATTTCATATTTATAGGACGTGAAAGGCTCGATGACAGCCGCAGAGATATCTGAGCAACTGGACTTAACTTCCATCAAGCAGCATCCTTGGCACATACAAGGATGCTGTGCCCTCACCGGAGAAGGGTACGATTTTATATAAAAGCTCATTTTCAATAGTCGACGCAGAAAACGGCCGCACCAGGAATGCAGGCCTTATCAACCGTTTAAATGGTGCTATCGGGCTTGATTTCTAGGCCAAACAAATGCTAAAAAAAGCATTCATGCTCTGTGAAGGAAAAAAAATCGGTACTAATATATTATTTGAGAATATGACTGTGTAAATGAATTCTTTTATTAAAATAATAAGAACTTAACAAGAAATATTAAAACAAACAATTAACCTTTTAAATAGAAAATTAAAGTATTGTTCGTATCGTTAAATATAATTATTATGCATCCATATTCTTGCCATTTTTATATCAAGAAACTTGCAACGTGTAAACGATACTGAAACATAATTTCTGCACAATGTACCTTATGAACATTTTTGATCGCAGTGAACGTGACGTCGTAATACGTTTTAAGTTTGAAACTTGCCGAATTTTATTTTTGTTTATCACTATAATCGCATCGATTTTTTTACCGATTCACAAAACCTAAGTTTGTTACTGAATATATGTATTTTAACCGCAAAGCAAATCACAGGTAAGTTTCCATTACAGTCTAATTTTAAAGTGGTGTTACTATTACAGGTTGCACCTGGGCTTGGAATGGATTGCGAGTAGAATAAAGAAGAAATGATTTTTTTACATTATTCGATTACATCTAAGATAACTAATAAATTTAGATTCCAATTTAGAATATTGTTGAAGTTGGACTATATTTTTTAAAATACTTGTAAATGCAAATTAACATAAAATACGTTATTCTAAAAAATACTACCAAATCTTACTAAGGTTTATGAATGGGTTATAATAAAATGTTTATGTATAATTTATTATCCATTTATTTCACCTACTTTACCTTGAAACAAAATTGTACATGACTTTAGTATCTATAACAAGTTTGACTATCATTTAATTTACGGCAGTTAGGTACAACCAAATGACAACATTCGAAATTATTTACTTACATAATTGGTACACAACGCAAATCACGAACATTTAATAAAACATAATAGGTTTACTTAAAATTAACATTTATAAAATATTAAAATTCAGATCTCTGACAAATACATGATAAAAAGTGATAATTTTGACTTGGTATCCTTGATCAAAAACCCTAGATACAACATTACTCTTATAGCGTCTATACTGTCATACCAATTTAATGGGAAAATCGATAAATATGCGAGTAACTAATAATGCAGTACTTTACGTAATAGTTTAAAAAATCGGCATCCTCTATTCCTATCTTATTACGGGGACAACGAGAAAGACTAGTATTTATTACTACGCTTTCTCAAAAACTTAATTCATACACAAAATATGATTGTCCTCATATGCACGGAAATGAAAACAAATATCTGTACGAATACGACCTATTACGATGCATAAACATCTTGACATCTGTATACACATTTTTTTAACTAACTTTACTTTTATTTTGACACCATACGATAGTAACTTTTACACCAATAATATGATTTAATGCAGTTTACGATTAAAACTAATGCACCAGTGCACTATTAAAGTAAAATAATGCTTACGATCAGTTTAAGTATGATTTGATCTTGTCGTTTTAAATGTACAAATGTTGTATCTTGGATTTTTTAAAATCATAGTTTAGGATCTACATAAACATAAATTATTATTTCGACAATCCAAGTAGCAATACTTAGATATTTTAACTTGGATATTACAAAATCGCAACATTACCACAGCCTACAATATTAATTATTACATTGTTTGGTTTAATAAAATCCCTAATAATATAATTGCTTATAAATATATTTTACATTATTATTTTATATACAAAAAAGAACAATCAAATAATATTCATTTAAAAAAATATACATTCGCTTTTAAATGCATCGAGTAAAAATCACAAATAAAAAATAATCACATGTAATGTACAATCAGCAGCACATTAGGTTATGCGAAATTTCTCGACTTAACTTTGATAAATTTGATAAATTATGTTCAAATTGATTTCGGAATTTTTCGTTTTCACCTTATATATCGCTGTGCGTACATGACATCTGAAAAGAAAATCTTGTACATATCATAACAATAAAATAAAACAATAAAATATCGTTTCAAGTCACTACTAAAGTCTCAGTGGAGATGTTAACTTAGGTTCGGCGCAAATATATCGGATTATCCATCGAGTAATCGCACGGAAGTATGCGTTTGTACCAGACGAAATATCCGTCTGGTGTGCAAGGTTGAATATCAAATCATATATTTTTCAGTTGCAGCTGCGCTACCGATGATATGCGACGCATATCCGTCATATATATACCAATCCTTAGATTCAATTAATTTAAGCTTATCGAAACAACGGTAGTTTTTCCTACATACATGTTATTTTTACATTATCCATGGTCATTACAAAGCCTTGAATGCTTAAACGTAATTTTTTTTTACCAATTTTTAAAATTACTTTCTAGCACAAAAAATACAAATATCCTGTTTTAGTGACGGGGTTTTATTGGTTTGTGTTTTATTTTATTCTTATATAATAGTAGTTAATGGAGGAGCACAGACAAGCACAAACACTCCAATCGCCCTATTTTAAAATGCCAATTTTTAGCATCTATAGGTGATGGTGAAATTGTCAGTTTACTTAACACAACTGTATAATATCTAGAGTGCTATTGTTTTTCTATTAGAATTTATGGTTAAGAAATTACTTGACCAAATTTTTACATGTGAATTATGCTGTACAAACTATTTTTTAATGTATTAATTAGCTATGCTATCAGTGATAAAACGTTATAAATTAAAAACTAAATTATTATTATGTTATGTGGTAGTCCCAAGGTAACGTTTTCGAAATTAGAACTGTGAACTAGGATCATCCTCCATTGAAGTTTTAACCAATAGAATATGTTTTGAGATTCTGAGCCTAATAGCCCAGGGATAGACGTTTACTGTGTCATAATTTCGTGGATAAAAAATTACCACGTTTGGACACAATCTAACAATAAATATAAATAAAACATACATAGGTCCTGGGTCATGACTTTTTTTGGCCTTTGGTCGGGGCAAATCTATCAGAAGTTGCGTAAAGTATCGTCCGTTGTGGAACGTTAGAATTGACAAAATATATAAATATGACATTTAACATTGCACATTCAAAGTATGATGAAACTACTAAAGCTTACTTCCGTGATACGCTCGATGGATTTTCTGTCAGATTTGTACCGACCATTATAGTAAATAATGCCTCTGCTATAGACGATATCCAAAAAGTGCGGTTGTGACACATTTAATAGGGACATCTAAGGAATGCAATACCAGGACCCCGAGCTTTTTTTAAAATCTTAGAAAGATTACAATTCGATAAGAGATACGACCACGCAGAATCAAAGTAAAAACAACTAAAGTTGTAAAGTTGTGTACTAAATTATCAAGTTCAGTTTACCTCTTGCTACAATGGCCGCAATGATGCAAGCTGAAACTACGTAGCCTGAACCGATTTCTCCTCGAGATGAACGTGAAAAAACACACACTTGTTTGTCGCACTCATTCTGGAGATCATTCTCCTAATGTTTTGATTAAGAACGAAATGAATTTGTTTGATTCTGGTGGATTAAAAGGCGAATATCTTTGATTCGTCTACAATGCATTATTAACAAGCGTGGAAGCAAAACGAGTATTATCTGCTGCTGGCCAAAGTCGTTTGGTATATAAAACTGTTAACATATTATGTTTTATGCACATTTATTTTCAAAATTATGCCTAAACTACCCATTGTCTCTTTGTAATAATTTTTATTGTTTTATTATATCTTTTTATTAATCTCTCACATATTTTGTTTAATTTTTAGTTCTAATTATCATAATGCATCTAGCATTTATGATACAGGATTTCTCTTATTTATCAATGACTTTCAAAAACATGCGGGATTCATGCGGGAATAATAGAATCCCGCGGGACTCTTATACCCCCTAGTCCTGCAAATACCTGGATTAAAATTTTGTTGCGGGATTGCATTCCTTAGGGACATCTTTATTTTATGTCGGGCAGAGCTTCAATAGAGGGTTTACTTTAAATCATGTTTCGCCATAGCAACGAAAGACGTACATTTTATTATGACATGTCCTTTATCACAGTCAACTAATATAAGATCATTATTGGAATATATTAATTTAGAGTGTGATGTACTTATTAACTAACATGTTTAACAAAAAAAAAAAACTTGTGAACCTTTATATAAACAGAATCGGATTTAAAAAAATGTCAAGTTTAATGATTTCATATCAAAATTATTTAGTATAGAAATTATACGACATTGAATAAATATAACAATTTGATAGGAGGTATGTATCTTACTACATAAAGATAGAAAGCAATTGTTATAGTTTAAAAAACAGGTATATGATTTGGTCCTGAGGTAGATCATCTAGATTACACTAGATATTTCCGACATACATTTCATTAATATGTACTTCTTTCAATTAGTAAAACACATTACATATAAGTATAAAAAAATCTAAACTTTACTTTTTTATAAATATATTTTAGGATTCGAACTTCAGTATATTTCTTTAATAATTATTTGTATCTAAAAGACACTCGACGATTTAAGTCTTCCAAAATCAAAAATTGTCTATAAATTATGTACCAATGCTTTAACGTCAAATTAAGTCGGTACACAAGCCATCGTATATATTATATAGTTTTGATTGTTGTAAATAATATTTAAAACTTAAAAAAAAACCGTATTAGGCGTATTAAACCTCACCGTATATTAGCTTATTAGCCTATAAATGTTCAATTGCACTTGTAATTATTTTTATATATCACCGTTTCATATAATTTTATATAAAAGGATAAAAGCACATTCAGTCAAATTCACTACGGAGTTTTATACGTGTTTGTAAATACAAATGCACGTGATCTACTTCCTAACAGTCTTCAAAACCGTATCTTATATGTCTTTACTTCCATAGGATCCAATTTGATATCATGTAGTCCGGAGAGGGACTTGAATGTTTTCAAACCAGTCAAACTCACCGAAGTTAAATTATTAATATGCAGACCACTGAATCTAGTCTTGGACGTAAAAATACCCGACTTCTTGGACATGCCTCCGACGGAGCAGCTGTAGCCTGGTTTGTGTAGCACCATGTAGCACGACGAGCTCGGGAACTGTTCCAGGATATCGTCTGTTATAGTACGCATAGTAACCAGGTGTACACCCGGCGGAAAGTTCTGAATGAAACTTTGATGCGACTTCACTTCTACATCGGCAACTTCACTGGTGTCGATCAAGTAAGTGTTCACGGGATAATTGAGCGTTCTACTTAGGTAGTCTGCTGTCTGCGATGGCAATTCATAACGTGAATCCTTTTGATTCGGACTGAAGTGTCTCTCATTTATATGAACAAAACTTCTTCCACTCGTGTCTCGTTTTGTTCTCTCAGTTCCTGTCATAGTTTCGAGCAGCAGCCAGTTTTGGAATATAGTAGGTTTGTTATCGACGACACCTTCACCTATGCCTCTAAAGTCATCGTATAGTGTACGCCTGTCGAGCATAACCTCTAATCGGCCCGGCTCGTACGCAGCCGATCCTTGCGCGTGGTTTGTAATTAGGGTCAGACGAGTTTCCTCGTCCTGCATCCATGCCATAGTTGTAATCGGATAATAATTAGCCTCTATACCCAACTTCTCTACTTTCACTCTCTTCTGATATTGGAAGCCGTTCTGATCTGTATAATATTCAGGTACATCCCCATTCTGTATGTCTGTTTGTATCCTCATAAACAATTCCGTTTCCCTATTCTTCGGTGGATTCTCAAAGTCCACGATATTTTCAATGTATACACCTCTAGAGAGAGACGGGTCGTCCACGTTGTAAATTCTAACTGTGTGTACTAAAAACGGTAAATACATAGTAGTGATTTCCGTGGAAATCGGTCCGGAGACTATTATTATGTTGTCATCTTGCAAACTATTCCAATTGGAGTAAGGATGTAAAACACTTTTTTCTGGGGAATCATAATCTGGCATGAAAAGGTAAGCTCCGGAATGTCTTTGGGCGCTCTGATATGCACCAAATTGCATTTCAACTACGTTCCTTTTTCTTATATCTTTCCTGTATATTTGTCTCATAAATCCAGTGTTTCTATTAATTAGTAACGTCATCATGGAATTCTCCAACTGAATATCACCAGGCATCATCTTTTTGATGTTAAATAACTTTTCAGAATCAGCTTTCAGATCGTCATTGCAGTTGTTGCAAAACACTTCGCAATGATGGGATTTGTTGGTGTATTCCTCAAGACTGAAAGAGACCGAAGTCAATGGTGGTAATTGCGCTACAAACAACAAGTCAAAGTTGCTATCACTTATGACACGTTTGCCATTTTCTTTAATGTCTATATTAGGCGTGATTTGGTACTGAACATACTCTTTTAAACGATTGTCGAAGACCCTTATATTAGTAGTATTTGATCTTACATTTATAACTTCAGTCCGTGTTTCTGCTAGTGGGTTGAATATCACAACCTTTTTCTTATCTATGTGAGAAACATGAAGTTTTTTGACCGGTTTGCCATAGGTTTCCCATTCAGATTCACTTTGAAGGATGCTCTGAGCGTGTAGGTTTTCGTTGGGAAGCATGATTGCAGTCAGAGCGGCTTCTTGTAAACGAATGCAGTGATATATGCTGGTAAATAATTTTGTACCGTAATCATACATAACGGTAGCTTTAGAAGTTCCCGTTATGGCATCATGATGTTGGAAGAGACCCAAATTCCTTCTGGCATTAATGAGTTGCTCGTATGATTTCTCCAATCTTTTCTCCGTTGAAACAAGTCTGTGATCATGGGATTGTTTTATATAATTTGATACTAGTGTAAATAGTATTTCAGAAGTCCTAAGTTGATGTTCGAATTGTCGTGCGAGAATCTTAAGATAAGGTCTGGTGGTATAATAACCGGACCAGTATGCTGGCTTTCCTTCACTGAATATATCTGAGTAGACGAAGAAATCTCCTTTTAATGTTGGTATATTTGCGTGTCTCTCTTTTATAGCATTAAAATAATCTAGAGGTGTTCCGAACTGCACGTCAGCATTAAACAATTCTTTATGGCTATTGATATAATTAAACATTTTCATATAGTTGATGTACTGTGCATCAAATTCTACATCATAATCGTATCTAAAATCATCCCCAAGTGGTACTAAGACAACATTGTGCGGGGTTAGCGAACCAATGCGATTATACTCCTCTATAAGCGTCTTCGATTTACTATGAAGATTTTGATCTGTAATCTCTTCGTGTTTAGCTGTGTACTCCGAATATTCTCCGGGGATTTTTCGGAAATCGAAGCTTAGACATATTGATGGATGGGGTCCACAGGTGCTCTTAATAGAATATATGTCGAATGGTTGGTTATGAACTATGAGAGATGGTTTTTTAGTGGACCAGCCTGGTATCCAGAAGAATTCCTCTATCTGTCGCTGTGCTAGCCATTGTTTCCAAGCATAGTGTATCCTTTGGATAATAGTGCCCTCTAGACCGCTTTTGTCAAGCAGGTAAGGTACTGTAGGACCGTGACCAAATGGGTCGATGGACCAACCCGTTTTCGGCGTTATACCAAGATTATTTTTCACCCAACTGTGACCTGAAATATTACATGATATGGTCAACAAGGGTCATAGTTTAGAACAGAAAATGTAAATATGCAATTAAAGTGATGTGCAATAGCTTCTATTGTTATATTTTAAACGTGAATTCTGTTATATTATTACCTTCAATAAATTGATCAATAAGCGCATAGATATGTGTGCAAGCTTCATCAGGCATTACCCAGCCACCAGTGGTAATCTCGAGCCGCCCTTCCTTGATTAGCTTCTTTAGAGCCTATAACATTATGTTATTTATAAATACCTGTTTACAACACGAACACGAAGTATTGCATATCCCAACAGCGTATCTTCCCTTTAAAGAAATAGTTACCTTTTGTTTCACCGGGTGCGAACGTTCCCACCAAGCGTTCAGGAACGATATTTCGGTCCATATGAAGGTCATGTTTGGATATTGGTTCAATTTTTGGACGATATTGTTAATGATATTCTTTGTCTTCCATTCAAAGTACTGTTCAAAAGTCTTTAGCCACCCGGGATCGTTGTGCGAATGAGGAACTACTATCACCTGTAAATATAAAAGATATTGCTTTATCAGTGTTGTTGTAACAGCAATCATCTCTCGATAATATGGTGATACATTCATTATATTTCTTACACTTGATCGACGGACCCGCCTAGACAATAGCAAGCCAAGATGCCATAAACTAGTTAGATACACGCCATTCAAAAGTAACACATTCGTGTTTGTGTGTATTTACATATTAAACAATTTTATTATTGTTACATAAAACAATATGTACTGTGTGAGACCTATTTTTTATATTATAATCCTGATACACAATATGTACCTATAACCAATGAGCATAAAAAAAATACAATAACCCTGCGGCCATGATGAACGTGGATATACCCCAACGTGAGATAAAAGTGGTATATACCTCAACTCCAAAGGCATATGACCACTTTAATTTTTTAAGGTTACCAAACGCTTACCACACCACATGTCAAATTAAGTTTTAATTTGATAACACAGAATTAAGCGATCTCGAGAATAACACGTAGAAACCAAAAGTTTCGTTTCTCTATATATGTAAGTACATAGCTTATTATTTATATTTCCAAATTATTAATAAATATTTTTATTAAAAAATAAATTCCGTTAAAAGCTTGATTAAATGTGAAAAGTCTTTACCATAAGCGGTTGTTAATTGTTTATAACACAATAATAATGTGATTGTGAAATCGATTACTCGCTTGATACTTAAGCGAAAAGAATGGAAGCCAATGCCATTCATAATTTTGGTTGTATGATGTCTGACATAAAGACAATAGTTTATTAGGTATTTCAAATAGAGTTTGTTTATGTTATTTCGAAATTAAAATCAACAAAGAATAGTCGGTCGACACTTTATTTTTTAATGCCATGGTCTGTTTCACAGTGCTTGCTTACAGTCTTAAGACTGAATAAATCATAATTAAACTACACGTGATGATATAGTGAAAAAACAATATAAATGGATAACTTGGAATTTAGAAATTTAGAGATAAAATTTAAAAACTTAACGTATTAAATAAATATACCCAAAGAAATGTGCATATTGTGGCACAAAATATTGTACATTATAATTAAATACCGCTGCGTCGCGCGTCAAGAAACACAAGTTATTTACTGTCGCGCGACGAGAGCACGATATTACATATGTGTAATTATTTATACTTTCTTCCATACGTTATTTTGCTTTGGATTTACAATATTTGTAATAAATTGTATCATTCTTAGGTATATCCTTGACCAATGCTCACTATCATGTATTTTATTTACGATTTGCATAATTATCCGTTACAAATCACGTTTAAAACGTTAAATATTAAATTATTACCATCGTGAGCAATAAGAAGTTGTAATAGTTAATTTCATACATAGCTGATAATAAACATAACTTTTCTATAATATACATGCCATAAATAAACCATTACAACAAAATAAATAGCCTACAAACACCCAGTCGCACAAACGAGCATTCAAGTTTAATAACGACTTTAAGCTCTAATGAATATTCTAAATTTGATAATTTATCTTGGTAATGCCGCTTTGAACGAATGACAATTTTAATGGACGTTTGTGCAACTCAAGGTAAGTCTATATTAAACAAAAATTCTTCGAAATTTCTTATTAATAATTTATGAGTTGTCCTTTAATATTTCAAAAGGAGGAAGTACTATGTTCCAGTTAAAAAGTATTTTCAAAACTGTTTTTGCGAATTGTAGACCGACTTTCAAAATTTCTTAAAATACAAATACACAAAACCTCCCTCTCTCAATGGCAGTTTCGTGAACATGTGAACCGTTTTTGAGTATTATTTTCTTTTAATTATTTTTATATCTAGAAACTTACTTTTAATCTAGGCCGATGTGTGTCGTTGCGCATTTTTTCGTAACGATCTTCAAAAGTTTTGTCCCAAAACTCTTTGGTCCGCACCCAACTTGGCTGTAAAAATAAAAAAAATCAAATATTAAATGCATGACAAAATATTACGTTACGTCGTTACGTTATCTATCATAAACTAGCTTCAGCTTCGCTATTCTGATAAAAAATCAGCTACGCTATCCTGTTCAAAAATAGCCTCGAACTTGACCTCTTTGATATGAGGTACCTAACAGTTTTGAGAATGACGAGTTCGTCTTCATCTTTTTTTATTAATGGCTTATCTGTGCATTCCGCACAATTCTGCCAATATCAAGTAAATAAATTAATTTCTACATGTTCTTTTTTTATAACAGAACAGCACTACAACGTCGTCATTTGGCTGTCGCAGCATAGAAGATCAATCAAATTAATCTTTATAACATGTTGAAATTGGTTTCATTTTATTTAGGAAAAATTTGTGCGAGACAATATTATTTGCTGATGACACCTCTTTAGTGTTTAAAGTTAAGAGGAGTAATGATTTAAAACAATCGATGTAAATGATGCTCTCGACAATGTTCTACAGTGGTTTGATAGTAATAATTTAAAGCTTAATTAAATAAAACAAAATGCATAAAGTTTGCATTACCTAATGTGAGGCATGTTAATACACTTATAAATGTAAATAGTGAAAAAGTTGAGTTGGTGGAATCGACAAAGTTCCTTGGCATTACACTAGATTCCCGACTTCAATGGGATCCTCATATTGATAATTTGTCAAGTAGACTGAGTTCTGCAGCATTTGCTGTTAGGAAAATTAGACTCTTGACAAATGTTGAAACGGCAAGATTGGTATATTTTAGTTATTTTCATAGTGTAATGACGTATGGTCTATTGTTGTGAGGTTCTGCGGCTAGCATTCAAGATATTTTTATTCTACAAAAGAGAGCTGCCCGCGCTATATGTAATTTACGATCACGAGAATCTCTCAGAGAAATATTTAAAGAAATAAATATTTTGACTGTTGCCTCTCAATACATATATGAAAATATTATGTACGCAAGAAAACATTACGATTCCTTCACAAAAAAAAATTGTATTCATAATCTTAACACAAGAAATAAAAATAAACTTGCCGTCCCAAGCTTCAGACTTCAGAAAACCAAAAGTGCTATGTTCAATAAATTCCCCAAAATGTAGTTAACATACTTATGAGTAAAGGCTATTATAAAGTTGATGATTATTTTAAGGATCGCAATGCATGGAATTAATAGCCTTCGCTTTGTTCTATAAAGACTAATTATATGTTTCACCTATATCCTACAGACTTTGAAAGTTGTATTTATTATTGTGATAATACATATTATTTTGGTAATGACATGATTTATGTAAATGTTATTTATGATAAAGAGCTGCTAATTTTCTTTTGCTTGTTCTTCTTGACAGCTAAAAGCCGTCCTGAACAAGTGGTAGGGGAAAAACAATTTTGACCAGAAAAGGTTAGGAAACGCTATTTGAGTAATTAAACAATTAAGATGTGAAATGAAGAATATAGCTGTTCCGATTAGAATAGGTATATCTATCTATATTAAATACACATGTTTGATAGTTCGTAGAGCTTGAGTATTAATAGATCTTTCGGAGGTGGCTAGACAACGGAGGTGGACAGTCACGATGTTATAAATATGATTATAGATAGGAATCGTTAAATTTTAGACGTGATTGATAATTGCGATTGGTCCGGATTGACAATCGTTAATACATTTTCTGCTACCTATATGATCTAGTAACTGTAATGTTTCTTTATTGCTAAAAACCAGAAATAGTTCTTTTTTATTTTGTTCGCGTTATCGAAGTTTAAACGCAGAAAGCTAATTAAAGCAACGAGAAATAAAATTTGTGTTAATTGTCGCCGATAAAGTAATATTTTATGGTTGTTATAGAAAAGTTCCGTTAAATTTTCCATACCTACTTTAATTGCTTATACAATTCAAAAGTAACTAAACCTAATTGAGATGACATATGGACAGATAGTAGGAAAGAAGAGACAGTTTTTAATTATATGATTTATGAACGCATCTTTTATCTTTCGTAGCCTCCACACCAAAAGATCCACATCTCGCATCAGCCAATAAACTATCTAGCACAGAAACTAGAAAAACGTTTGGTCTACATTAAACAAATATCAATTTTTCTCTGGTCAAGAGTGAGATGTTGTAAAAGTGCACCCGAGACAAGTGACATTTGGGTATAGACAAAACATTACAAGAGTTATTATATTTGTCTAATTTCGCATTCACAATGCTATATTGAAAAATCCACTTGGTCCTTGGCACCCCGACCTAGTGAATTTTTAAGCATTTTTCGCTATCATGAACCGAAGATCGAATTTAAATAACTTTACAACTTGAATAGCGAGAGGCAAAATTCACGCCGTCTTCTTCTGTTCGTTCTGCCCGCAATAAGCTCTATTTTTAACCGATTTAAAAAAAGATCTCAATACGACCATATTATTTTAAAATTTTTAATATATATTACCGCATACCTCCGGTATTTATAATCCAATTTGAAAAAAATAATTTTTGAGTCATACGTGTTTCGACCACCGCTCGTTTACTTCCAATCAATGTTGCACACGAGTAATTCACAATTGTTTCCCGCGATTACGACTGGTATCAACTACTCGTCCTCCTCTAGAGGAACGACGACACAGCTAGATATGTCAACGGAAAAACAAAACATTTTAAATAGTTTGGCCTTATTCCGTTTTGCGTACACTTTCTAGTAAAATAATGTTAATTAATGTCGAATAGATACTCGAGAGATTGATTCTAAAACTATTATTTCTCTTTTTTTATAATAACAAAAATCTTTCCTTTCATCAAAAATTTGATAGACATCGCGATAATTTATCAATTTATTTTGACTATACCTATGAAAACTCAGACCAAATAAAAAGTAAAGACGGAGTTCGCTGAATAACAAAGTGAAGCCAATTTTTAGCAATTGTAGTGTGCGTGCCAGTGTGACCATAG